GACCTATCCTGAACATCCTCAATACCAGACACGAGTCTCAGCTGGACTCACCCATACTGTTCCTCCTGAACGCCTATGTGCTCCAACACATAACCTGGCCAGGCAAAACCAGAATAACACACACACACAAAAGAAAAAAACAAAGAAACAAAACACCCTCGAGCCCTGCAAATCCGTTTCTACAGATGTCCGTATGCTGCACAGCAGGCGCGCCCAGATCCTCACAAGCTGAGTTCCACTGACAGGGCTACGGGGAGGAAACCGCAAAGATCCGTTCACGCCGGCAGTCGGATCATCCCTTGCTCCATGTACTGGCACTCCTGTACCTGCACAGATCTGCGTCACCGCGTCACCGAGAGAGAGCAGCTCCTAGGCAGAGGCCAAAGAGAGCAAGCTCCTTCCAGCCAGCCGCAGAAGCGGACAGCAGCGACCGTCGGCACTCCGTGCCGAGCAAGAAGCCTAAACACCTCCAAACGCACCCCTTAAATAAAACTACTGACCGGTTCACGCTCACTGCCTGAAAGACGCCGAAGTTTCTTCTTTTTATGTTTCTTAGTTTATAAATGGGGTTCAAGACAGATATGGCTTAAACGCCTCATGGAGGGAAATGACCCTTCTCCCACTGCGGCGGTCCAACGACAGCAGTGTTCCGACAGACCCACGCAAACACCATCAAAGCAGACCCGGGTTTGGAAGTTTAAGCCTTCAACAAGCAGATTCTCAAAGACAAGAAGACCGAGACATACCCGCAGCTACGTCTCCTAAAACCCAAAGCGACAAAATAACGCCTGACCGCGGCGACGCCAACCCCGAGGCTCCGTACCGTCGCTGGCACGGGCAGCCGAACACACGCCGCTCACGCCGCCCGCGTTTTGGGGGCACGGAAGAAACCTGCAGCCTCGGTAATTAAAGCAGAAACTTCTGACAGCAGCGCTGCCCAGACTCCAGGCCAGGCCTCTCTCCGGAGGCTCCCGTTCCTCCCACTGAGCCTCAAGCCATCTGAAAGGAAGAAAACGAACCGTTCTCACGGCGAGAGCGGCCCCAGCCCCGCCCGCGCCGGGCTGCGGGGAACCACCC